TAATAAGTATAAATATATTTCTAATAAGTAATAACAATTTATATATTTCTAATATATTTCACGAAACATTTCAAGATCATTAAAGAAGATTTTTTAATTAATTTAACTTGGTGTATTGCATTATTGCACCTGGCTCTTATTAGCCCGTTTCCTTTTTTAGTTTATTATATTTATATCAGAGCCTTTAACTTATTATTTATATATCTCTATTTCTTTTTTAGAGAGAGTTAAATCAAGACCCACTTGCTATCCACGATCGTGCAATTCGCAAAGATTCTGGGCCCTCATGATACCAAGTTGTCTCCGTATCCTTTTCAACTGTATGAAGCGGTTTCTCCTCTTCTTCGTGCTTCTTTTTTATAGCATCCTCTCCTACACTGGCTAACAATTCTCTTAATCTTGTCCTTCTATCTGCAGGGCCTTCGCCAAAGAGACAAATTGGTTCACCCAATTGTCTCAAGTGTTTCTTTACCTCGGAATCATCTGTGGAAACATTAATCTGTCTGGCCTTTTTCCTACGTTCGAATTCTTCCAGTAATGCCTGGCGATCTTTGGACATTTCATCCTCGAGTTCCATATACTCGTTTGAAATGTGCACATTGCCGACCAAATTGGAAGCATTGATGATATCATTCGCATTTGTGATATCCTTCTCCTCGTCTGTAGTTTCGACAGCAACTTGCAAAGCTGCAAGCCGTGCACGTTCCGCCTCTTCCAGCGAGCCATAATGAACGGTCTTCTGTTTCTTTACATAGATGAGGTCCTCGTCGTCGGACATTTTTGAAGGTTAAGAATGTCTATTAAACAGTAAAATTAAGATTTTGATTTTTTATGAGCGATGAATATCACAAAAAACAAAAATGTTGACTGAATGTATCGTAACGAGAGAAATATTGTTGCACAGATAAAAAGCACATAACCTTTAAGCGAGGAGCACACACTTTTGCATAAGCGCATAATCATAAGCATAAGGAAATTGATTGGTCCATTTCCTTATCCATAAGGAAATTGACCAATCAAATTCTTTATGCTTATGATTATGCGCTTATGCAAAAGTGTGTGCTCCCCGCTTTACTCTTGCACAGATAAAAACATAACCTCTATGAAGCATGTATTTTATTATACACTGATAATACTTTATATACAGGTATTATCGAAATTTGATCACTTAAAGTTGTAATTATATTTACAATATTTATACTATATATACTTTGTATATAATAATGTTTCACACAATTTGTTTGAAAAATATACACATGGCACACATCACTGTCAATCGCGCTATTTATGCCGAAGTATCGATCGATTTGTATCGAAGGCACATTATTTATGAACCGAAGATCACCTGAGATCGCCTTATAAACGAATATATTTAACAAATAATATAGAAACATTGACAGAGAATGTAATATTAAAATTATTTCATCAACGTATTGAAAACTTATAAACGGACTAAAAAATTAAATTTCTGCTTTTATCATGAACATGTACGTGTATGTTTCAAATTTCAAATCATTAACATTCAATTTATTTTTGTTTTATATATAAAATATTCAAATGATTCAATATGAAAAACTGATATTAAAATTTTTTAATTACGTATAAAATACACGTGTGCCTTAAATATAAAACTTACTTATATAAAACACTAAAACTTTCTATTTATTTAATATTTATCAGCTATTCATATTATTCATACTTGCATTTATTCTCTTGTAATGATTGTTTAAGAAATACTGATGTCTCTTTATTGTTACTTTTTTATACGCTTATAACTTATATTTAAAATTTGCAGTTAATTTTATTATTTAAAGAATGAATATAAAAGAACCTCAAAAACATCGAAATGACAGAAGAAAATGAAATATTAGAACTTTAATTATAGTCTATATTAGCGATATATTATTAAAAAATTATTTCTTACAAATATTTTGCTAGTAAATCAAAGAGCAATTTTTATGATACGATACGACACGAGAACTTCCAATGTTACATTATTGGTGGCCCTGAAAAGGGCCGTTTACGGAATTTGTTCACTTTGAACTGGTGTACTTGGTGACCGCCTTTGTTCCTTCACTAACAGCGTGCTTAGCCAACTCGCCGGGCAGAAGGAGCCTTACAGCAGTTTGGATCTCGCGAGATGTAATCGTGGATCGTTTGTTGTAATGAGCCAATCGCGACGCTTCGGCCGCAATGCGCTCAAAGACATCGTTAACAAAGCTGTTCATGATGCTCATAGCCTTGCTGGAGATTCCAGTGTCGGGATGAACCTGCTTCAACACCTTATAGATGTAGATAGCATAGCTCTCCTTCCTCTTCCTTTTCTTCTTCTTATCGGTTTTGCTGATGTTCTTCTGCGCCTTTCCGGCCTTCTTCACAGCTTTACCGCTAGCTTTTGGTGGCATAGTCGATTTCTCGTACGTCTGTATCGAAGCAAGTTCAGAGACAGAATGATTTTGTGGAGCTCCTACACGCGCGTTTATATAGCGACAACCGGTAGTAGGGGCGCACCAATCACGTGCGAGCAGCGCTCGACTCCTGCTTAGCTACAGTGCCATTGGTCGACACTCGTGCCGCCAAGTGATGCACGTTGTATCGCTGCAAAATTCTTTCCTCATCGAGTAAAATTATAGAGAATATTATTTTAATTGCATTTATTAATGCTTTATAGTAAGAATAAAATTGTATCTCATTATATATATATATAATAGATATCAAACAATAGCTATTAAATTTTTTAAAGATTCTGTGAGAGAAAAAATACTAATATCGCTATTTTATACGCAATAATCCAACGTTACTTAATGTAATTAAATTTACGCCGACGTTCCTGTTTATTATAATTTATCATGCAAGAACAGTTTTAAGGAGCTTTAGGGAAAATCAAACTCATGAATAAACATTGTGATAATCCGGCATACATAATACACACTATAATATAGTCTATATTATACGCTAGCTTAGACATCAAGTGTAATTTTCCATATTCAATTTTTTTCATACTTTGCACTGTTTATGGAAAGCAAATATAAATATGTATATTTTTTATACTTATCGTTAGTGAATGCTCTCTTTTTTATTCTTTCTTTCTTTTCCTCAAAATAAATAGCTTTAGCAATTTTTTGATTAATAAGTATGTAAACTACATCTTTATGTGCATCGTTGACAATTTGTTTCATATTGATTGACTTAAATATTATGTATAAAAAATAATTCTTTATCGTCTAGTGTGTAATGTGTACTGTACGTTAAACTAAGAAACAATAGGAGTGCTCTGATTGGTCAGTGGCGACGTAGTGGGGAGAACCTGGATCCGTCCTCTATAAAAGGGCGCTTAGGAGGGATACATCGTCATTCGATCTGTTCTCTCGTCTGTGTATACATTGATCGTACATAGTAGCTCAAGATGACTGGTCGCGGTAAAGGAGGAAAGGGATTGGGAAAAGGAGGTGCGAAGCGGCATAGAAAGGTTCTTCGTGATAACATCCAGGGTATCACTAAGCCGGCCATTCGTCGTTTGGCGAGACGTGGCGGTGTGAAGCGTATTTCAGGCTTGATCTACGAAGAAACTCGTGGTGTGTTGAAGGTGTTCCTTGAGAACGTGATCCGCGATGCCGTCACCTATACTGAACACGCCAAGAGAAAGACCGTAACTGCCATGGATGTCGTATACGCCCTGAAACGACAAGGCAGAACTCTATACGGTTTTGGCGGTTAAGAACTGTGGATCACTACAGAATATCAATCGGCCCTTTTCAGGGCCACAAATGACTCAAACGTTTGGTATAATTTCTGTTCGCTACATATTTCCTTTCCCATTAATGCAAAGCAAATTGTACGATGTATTATTAGAATTATTATACAGGGTGTCTATTTTCTAGGAAAACTGGAGCTCTGAAAATTTTTCATTAAAAAAATTTTCTAATAACTGCTCTTATATTGTAAGCAGTCTATAATGTGCCAATAAATTAATTTGTGAATTGTGTTTAAAATATACATATATATATTCAATAATAAAATATTAAATATGCAATATACATATTCTTTATTTTAATTTTTAATGATAAAAAAAATGAGTGTTATCCAAAAATTTTTATCTGAACAAAAACTGTTTATTCTTTTGCAGTACATTTGTAAATCTAATACTTGTAACTTAAGTGGCTTTGTTTTTCCTTCGTATAAGAGAAAAGCATTAGAAAACGCGTACAATAAAAAAAATTATTTTAGGTACAAAAAAATCAGAAATATCCTCTACCTGGAATTTTGAATAAAAATACCTGGAAGATCAGGGAATTTTTTTTATAAGATTTGGACATATTTGAATTTTTTAGACACTTGGTTATACTAAAATTGATATTAAAAGAAAAAAGACATTAAAAAGAATTTGTATATATATATTATAGAATATAGAACTATATTTAACTATACATATAAAAGTAAAAAATTCTTGATAGATTATATTTGTTTGCAATGTTATTGTTTTAATTCACTGTATATTTGCATATCGAGAAATCAGATTTGCAATTTATCTAAAGATAAAGGTATTTGTCAGTGGAACATAAAATATAAGATGTGTATTTGAACAGTTTTAATATACATAAACGAAAAAATAATCTCCACTTTTTAGGAGTTAAACTTTCTGCACTTAATAAAGACAAATGTCTCTCTTTACATTTAGAGAATTCATAAAACTTATTCTGTTTCTCTTTTTATAAAACAGCTATTTTATTTTAATATTGCTATTGTTATTAAAAGCATACTAACTTTACAAAAAATAATATTTAATTTACAACTAATAAATCGATAACTGCATATATATGTATATGTACACAGTCTTATAATACATTTGAGGCTGGCCTAATATTCATGCAAAGTTAATAAACATTGAAACACGTATATGAGGTATTTCAAATAAAGTAATCAAATGATTAAGAATTTCTGAAAACTCTTTGTAGGTTATGAGGAGGTTAGGAGCCTCGAATATGACACTCTACAGATAAAGCAGTCTTGCAATAATGATATGACGTATAAGATTTCTTACATATCAAGATGCAAAATTATTAGAATTAAATAAGAATTTTTAATATGTAATAAGTATATATATTAAACCGGTGTTTTTACAAACAATATAACTTTGTAAAAAATTTTACGTTATAAATTACATGTTTCTCTAAAGTATTGAGGGCAGTAAAGAACAAAGAAATAGTTATATTCATGTAGAAATATCATTTATTATTTAAAAACTGTTTTAAATAAAATTACATTGAGCACTTTAGAAAAACAAATTAAGAAATAAAGTTTTACATTAACGTAAAAATGTCATTTTTTTATATTAAAATTGATTTTAAAGTTTTTTTTCAAATTGAACATTTTTTTAAAAAGCGAATAGAAAAATAGATTGCAATAGATTGAAAATATATTACATTTTTAATTAATAAAAATAACGAAACTCTTGTGTAATCAGTTTTTAACTGTTAAATATTGCAGTAATCTAATATTTCATAAAAAATGCAAGAGGTTCTAATATCATTTAAAAGTTTAAACTAGTAATGAAATATTGCAGAAATAAATATTCATAAAATGGAAAATATTCAAGCGAAACTGAGATGATCCTTCGAATAATCGATTGGTGGCCCTGAAAAGGGCCGGTGTGTTAAATTTTTTAAGCACGCTCTCCACGAATACGACGTGCCAGTTGGATATCTTTAGGCATGATGGTGACTCGCTTGGCGTGAATGGCGCATAGGTTAGTGTCTTCGAAGAGACCGACGAGGTATGCCTCGCTAGCCTCCTGCAATGCCATAACAGCAGAGCTTTGGAAACGAAGATCGGTCTTGAAGTCCTGCGCAATCTCGCGAACGAGACGCTGGAACGGCAATTTACGAATCAGCAGTTCAGTGCTCTTCTGGTAGCGACGAATTTCACGAAGAGCCACAGTACCGGGCCTATAACGATGAGGCTTCTTCACACCACCTGTAGCAGGCGCACTCTTGCGCGCCGCCTTGGTCGCCAACTGTTTCCGCGGAGCTTTACCTCCAGTAGATTTACGAGCGGTTTGTTTCGTACGAGCCATTATGCGAGCCGAGAGGTATCGGGTGTCAACACGCTGGTCAGTAGAAAAGTGCCAGCAGTCAGCTTTCCGCCTGCTTTTATAGACCCAGCGTGCAGACAACTCGACGGTGATTGGTTGCAGCTCCAGTGGTGGGGAGAAACGACCGCGGCGCTCTGCGAGCTCAAGCAGTAGTCAGTAGTGAAGATGTTATTCTCCACTACGTGCTTCGATAAAGAGTATGCTTTGCGTTGCGTACTGCGTACGAGATATAGAAAAAATGTTACTGTTTTTCTATGTTATCCTATATGTAAAAATGATTGCAAATTATTATAAATGTAGATTAATAAAATTTGCTTCAAAGGTACGACATGTACGAAATATATAAAAAAAAAAGATAGCATATTTCATTTATGTGAAAAATAAATATTTGCTTGCAATTTTTATAAACCTATTAAAATCTTAACAAAAGTCGATGCGAGAGATAATTGATTTCAATTCAAATCGAGACTGTCTGAACATTGAGTTATTCATATACATACAATATGTATGATTCAAGTTCGAAGAAGTTTCGAAGATAAATGGGATCAAATATTCAATATGGTTAAAATTACAGTCAACAAGCTCTCAAATAATATCTTCTTATTTTATATATGTAAATACCAAAGCGTGATTCAATTTATTGCAAATTTTCGTTTATGTATAATGCTATGTAAACTAGCTTCTCGAAATTAAATATTATTGTATAATTTTCAATTCATTTAAAAACATTAAATAGTTTCAATATTAGAGATACGTGAATTAAATATCGAGCAAATGTCACATTTAATGTCAAATGTCAATTATGAGGAATGTCATTATGCAGTTGAAATCAAGTTTTCTAATAACTCTGTGTAGGTGTAAAATATTTTTTATAATTGACTCTCTATTGTAGAGGTTATAACAAAATATTTTATTTTATACAAATATCAGAATATATTTTTATTATTGATGGTCATATTAATACGTTTCAAGTTATTTTCTAATATACACTCGTATTTTACTTATTCGTCCATTAAAATTGCTCTAATTTAAATATGGAACTTTCCTTAGAATTGCGAAATGTAATACATACTGCATTTCTGTTAAGAAACATTGCTTATTTTTTTTTTATTTATTTTCTATGAATCAATCAATCAAATGACAATTAAAAAGAAATAATAATAATAATCCACTACGTCTTTCTGGTCGAAAGAAAATATCGATCAATATGTTATTGCGTATTTAGAATATAAGTACCATCAGAATATGCTTCTAGATGCATATTTTTCAAGAGATTACAAATAATTCATATTAAAAGTCATCACTTTTTGTAATTGCATAATATGTTTCAAGAAACTGGTATTAATGATTACCATATATGAATTATTCATCTTAAGAGATTATATAACTATTTTAGACATACAAGTTAACCTACAAAAAGGAAATCAATGAATTACGGCTTTTAATATTATTTTATTTTTGAAACTGTGTGTGTGCGTGCGTGCGTGCGTGCGTGCGTGTGTGTGTGTGTGTGTGTGTGTGTAT